GGAGGAGGAGGAGGAGGAGGAGGAGGAGGAGGAGGAGAGTGTGGTGGATGCTGTGAAAGTCTACCACAACTATAAACTAATGCGCGCAAAGGTCATCCTGCCTGTCCCCGCCCTGCCGTGAAGCACGCGGTGGGCCATTACCTTTAATCTGAAAAGTCCCTACATCATATTTCCCGACATCACTTGAGATGCAAGAAGCCGTATAAACTCTATTTAGATTTCCACGGAATTCTTATTATGATGTGAAAGTTAGTTCTTCTTAGGGAAATTGGCCTCCACTGTCTGACGGGCTACGACTGCCGGAAGGCTATGATACGCGCATGGTGAGGTATGATCCGCGACATCATCGCGGCCGGCTAGACCAGGCTTGGTCACAGCCGTGACCTCGGGTACGCAAGGTCTACTTCAGCTTGCCGAAATCCAATGCCACTGAAAGCGGTCTTCTCCGATGATGGGTTCGAGTGAGAATCCGAAACGTCAGACTAATGAACCCCTTGATCCAGTGAGCGCATCTTCTTCTTATTATTATGAGCGTTCGTTTTATGTCAACCAACAACAATAACATTCGCTTAGACTTCTGCCAAGTGCAGAGACGGTTTTCTGCCAAAAAAACGGTGAGTGGGGCCGAGAACACGACAGGGCTGGCCATTGGGCTTAAGGATGTGCAGTGAGCAGTCCCGTTGGACACATGCGTGCAGAGGACTGCTGTAGATCGCGAGAAGTATTTAAAATCTGCCAAAACGCTTATTAATTAAGCGAGTCTGGTAGTCATGTGGTGGATTCTAGATGGATTACTTAGGAAATCCCGACTGGGCAGTCAACTTTCTGTATCAGATTTTGTGGATTCCAGACGTTGCAGTAGGTTGGGCGGGTAACTTGACCCAAATGTGGTTAAACTCACGGCTGCCGGTGCGGCCTCGTAGCTCAAGTGTCTAGAGCATTAGCTATACTCAAGCCTTTCCCTCACTGTCGTGGGTTTGAATCCCACCGAGGTCGCCGAGTTTTTTTAACCGTTGGGTCAAAATGAGTTAGTTAAACTCTGCCAACACACTTACTACTTAGTGACGGTTTACCAGCAAGGGCTTGGGTCCCTCCAGAAGATTAAAGCAAGTCCCTGTGCGAACGCGCCCACAAGTGGCAACCGACATGGAACAGAACTGCTTGAGGAAGTAAGGTTAACTTGCGTGAGACAGACACTGCATATGCCGCAGTCTTTCCTCCGAAACCCGACAGGCTCCAGGGGCGAGAGAGCATATCAATACATCTGGAAATAGGGTCCTGGTGCAATGACTGACGAGGCCGACTCGACGCATGACCGCGCCAAACGTGCGCTGACCCCTACACGAAGGCGACTTTAAGAAAGGCGTCTTGCATTGAAAGGAATTCCCACAAAGGTCATATTAGAGGGGGTGGGGTGGAACATTGAAACCCGACCCTCAGTCAGCATAAGAACCAGGTTACCCCGCACCGTTTCGGGGAAGTTTACTAATGAGTGACATTTATTAGTTAGGAAACAGCTGCCATCTTAGTATACCCCCGCTTTGGCGGCTAATCAGACGAATGCCTGCACAGTAGGTCTGAATAGGCGGGTACTGCACTCGGAAGTCTTGTGCTGTCAGTCTTAGGCGATTGACGACGGGTTCTACACAAACTATGCCTCACATGACTGCCATCGATCAGTGGTTAAATCGTCGGCGCAAATGCGGACAAACTGCAGGGCTTTAACGGGCTGGAGCTCAGAATGCGGATGGCTCACGACACTCTACCGAAGGGAGGGTAATGATGATGTACTCGGTTATTTTGAACAGACAACCGGACGCGTCAGTGCGCGATGCACCGCTCTCTCACCACTGGCCGGTAGTTAGACGAATTTTTAAAAAGTCCAGACACACTGGCATCTGGGTAGCTCTTTACGTCAAAACTGCAGCAGACAACAACAACAACGCTGACTCACCTCTGGAGCCAGATGCCACCAGCTTCTTCAGGGCTGTGTAGAAAACGAGATAGATGCCGGAGTAGGGGCTGTCTCGAACCAGTGTTGGCACCAGTCCCCGAAACAGACCTAAATGGAGGAGCAGGAAGAATCATTGGACAGTCGGGGAGGGGAGGGGGGGTTCCAAATACGTGAGTTACTGGAAGAAAAGCCAAATCACCAGATGGTCCGTTCTCGACGTAGATCTTGCGTAGACAGGCAAACATGGAGAGACCCTCGGTGAGACCGGCTTCGGCTCTGGCCTTTACGACCGTGAAGGGCAGGAGGGTGGCTCCGACCACAGTACGGGTCGTAGAACCCAACAGGAAGGAATCCACGGCAAGCCATCCGGTTCTACAGACAACAAAAATCAATAAGGACGAACTTGTCAGTCCGACCCACTGAAAGTCAAGTGGCGAACTGAACGTTAATCAACTCACCGCGAAACATGCGATTGGTCTTTGGTTTGTGCCTATACTGGGAGTACGATGTTTAACTGCATGTGGCATGCGTTGGACAGAGGCTTTAAGTCATTGTTGCTTTTTAATTTCCTCAGGAATTAGCTGCGAACTTGGAGTAGATCAGCACATTCTGGGGTCTATAGGCATAGACCGAAATTTGATGAATATTTGGGAAGAAGTTTATCAGCCATAGCGGATAGCCGCGTATTATTAATTAACTGCCGACAGGCAGCTAGCAGCACATTTAAGGGTTACACGATGCCATTCCAACTGCACAAGTACTAGCTAAAAGCCCAGACACGCGTGTTCCGCCGATATTCTGCCGCCTCATGATACAGCTGCGAGGGGTTCGGATCATCAGTGGATCCCCCTGCATTTCCCGTGTGCTTTCTAGTGGACAATCCAGTTGAAAAATTGTTGCCTTTTAATTTCCTCAGAGATTTGGTGCGAACTTGGAGTAGATTTGTATATTTGAGGTTCCGTAGGCGTAAACCGAAATTTTATGTACAGGGAATGTGGGGGGACCCATTGAAGAGCCGAACCCCTCCCAGCTGTGCCATATGTCAAAGTTCGGTCAGCGCCTGTAGACCTTAGTTTAAGCTGACCTACTTCCCAGAAAGCGCACGGGGAATGGGGGAACCCACTGAAGATCCGAACCCATCGCAACTGTGCCATGCAGCGGCAGAATGTCGGCGAAACACGCGTGTATGGGATTTTAGCTGGTACATGTGCTGGTAGTATGGTATCCTCTTGTTTTAAACCATGTCCGTCACTAGGCTCTATAGGTCTCAGCCAGCTTGAGGGCCCGTCATTGGCATGTAGGAGATGGAAGAGAGCAGATGGTCAATCTAGCTCAGACCTGGTGCTTACTTCCTCACGATAGACAACCAAACGCGTCTTGGGACTCTCAAGACGCGTAAGAGATCGTGGGCCGCAAAAGTTGTCAAATTAGGAAATAAATCAACTACCTCTTCCTTTTTCGACTCTCTCGCTCTCTAGCCATCGGATCATGGTGGGTGCAAGAAAATAGAATAAAGTGAATGCCGCGCAAATCGCCACTGCGTCCTCGCCAGAATAGTGATGATCGAAATCAGCTTTTTTATGTTGGGAGCATGGGGAACGAATTTTGCAGGTATAAAATCAGACTACGGTAGAATGTGAAGGCGAGATTACCCAGGTACATAGTGTTCACAAAGCCCAGCAATAGTGTTAGAATTTAATAACTCATACTTCGAAGAAGAATGAGTCCTTTGGGA